GAGCCGGTCCCTTTCCCGTCGGGGAGCGCGGGACCGGGGCCCAGGGGACCCCGGGCCACGGAGAGCGGGAAGAGGATGGACTGCCCGGCCCTCCCCCCCGGATGGAAGAAGGAGGAAGTGATCCGAAAATCTGGGCTCAGTGCCGGCAAGAGCGATGTCTACTACTTCAGGTACCGCCTTGGGGGCGGGGAGGGGGTGGCAGGGTCAGGCCGGGGTCAAGGGTCGAGAGCTGACCTGGGTAGGGGATGTCAAGAGGAGAGCAGGGGCCAGAGGGGAGTGGCAGAGACAGACTGGCCTGGCAGTAGAAGGTGCCCGAGCCCTTGGGTGAGAGTTGACCCCAGTGCAGTGACAGTCACAGTGTCTGAATGGTGAGAGCCCATAGGAGGGCCTCTTATGGGTAAAGTGTTGGGGAAAATGGTTTGCGGAAAGAAGGGTTACTCTGGCAGGGATGATTATTCCTCTGAAGGGTTAAAAGAAGGTGTAATTCATCGAAACTATAAAACCAGTCACTGTTGGCTCCTGTCCCAGATTCATCATCACAAGAGTGTTTAATCATGCACATGTGGAAGAATGAGGTATCTGCCGTAACAAGGTTTCAGTTGCTTTGTGGGATCCACGAAAGTTTCTTATGAAGTAGCCACTTAGAATGCCTGTAGTTTCTTGGTGTTGCAGAATTTACTCCCTTTTGAAACCAAACACTGTAATACGTTGTTAGACTCCTAGACCAAAATTTGTCCTCCGGGGATATTTGGTAATGTCTGGGACATTTTTGGTTGTCACACCTTGGAAGGGGGTGCTGCTGGCATCTAGCGGGTAGAGGCCAGAGATGCTGCTAAACATTCTATGATACACAAGACAGCCCTCACAGCAAAGGATTATCTGGCCCCAAGTGTCACAAGTGCTGGATTGAGAAAACTTGGTCTGAATGATAACAGGTTTTCAGCTTGATGGTGAATCCTGTGATCATGCTGTCCGACCCAGTAAGCTCAGGGAAGTGTCTTTGGCTATTGATACCAATGGAATTTTCTTAACAACAAATTTACTAACTTTTCTTATAAACAGTCCCATTTCTCAAAGAGAATATAAATATGTTATACTCAGTGGCTTGGAGGGCCATGTTTGTGGGCTAATTTAATCATTTTCAGAGACGATATATGGGTGTTGGAGTAAATGTCGTCTGCCATTTAGCCATTGGAGTATTGTAGGAAAGATTTCCTTTTTTCCATACATTACTCCTGGGTAAAAGTATACACACACACACACACACACACACACACAAAATACAATGTTTATGAATTGAAAATACTCTTGGGCTTCCCTGGTGGCGCAGTGGTTAAGAGTCCGCCTGCCACTGCAGGGGACACGGGTTCGTGCCCCAGTCTGGGAAGATCCCACATGCCGCGGAGCGGCTGGGCCCGTGAGCCATGGCCGCTGAGCCTGCGCGTCCGGAGCCTGTGCTCCGCAACGGGAGAGGCCACAACAGTGAGAGGCCCACACACCGCAAAAAAAAAAAAAAGAAAAAAAAGGAAATACTCTTAAATAGATTTAAGAGGTTAAAAAAATACGTGTATATGTGTATATGAGTATGTACATGTATACATACACACAAGAATGCGATCACTACTGGTATAACATGTAAATATGAACATATTCCTAATAGTTGCTCAAATATATGGAAGGGTAGTTTGAGTGAAGTTATTTCACCTATTGAAGTTAAAAAAAAATAAAATGAAAGTGGTGTTGCACTAGAACTTATTTTGTTTTGAAATCTTAAATGATAATTAGAAAACTTATTTTAAACATACAAAGGTGATAATCTTGTTTTGTATTTCCCCATCATTACATATTAAATTGGTTTCAGTAATACTAAGAAAGTTATTGTGGAACAAATGGTTACTCTCAAGTTCACTTGTTTCATTTAGTGCTTTTCACAGTTGTTCATTTTTGCATATTCTTTCGTTAACAGCTCCTTCTGTTTTCTTTTTAAGCAAGTAGCATGCATAACCTTCTTTATGTGAACTCTGTATTGATGTCTTTTAGCCAGTTATATGTGACAAGAACATTCTGTGTCTGGGATTGAACTCCTTGAGGAATAAGTGACTAGTCTATTCTCAGTAGAGTATCTTCAACTTTGAATTTCACTCCCTGTGGCATTTCTCCTGGGATATGGTTTGTTTGGTTTTGAGATGATGTATTTGTTGGAACTTACTTTTGGTTGCTGCAAAGCTTTTTTATTGCTGTTCTTGCAGTACCTGGAAAAGTTATTTTAAAAAGGCAGATTGCTGTAGTGCTCATTCTGATGTGTGGTCACCTTTTTTTTTTTTTAATGTGTTGTAAATTTTCGATGTTAACTTTTTTATACAAGCTCAATAGATTATTTTATGGTAGAAAAACTGATATAATCAATCTAAAATTTTCTTAACAAATTCATCTTGTGAAGAATCACAAACCAGTATAGTAATAATTACTCTCTAAAATTAAAGTCTTGGGCTTCCCTTGTGGCCCAGTGGTTAAGAGTCCGCCTGCCAGTTCAGGGGACACGGGTTCGAGCCCTGGTCCAGGAAGATCCCACATGCTGTGGAGCAGCTAAGCCTGTGCGCCACAGCTACTGAGCCTGCCCTCTAGAGCCCACGAGCCACAGCTACTGAGCCCACGTGCCACAACTACTGAAGCCTGCGTGCCTAGAGCCCGTGCTCTGCAACAAGAGAAGCCACCGCAATGAGAAGCCCACGCACTGGGCTTTTAATTTATAAAATTAAAGTCTTTTAAAAAATAAATTTATTTAATAAATAAATTTATAAAATTAAAGTCTTTTAAAAATAAATTTATTTAATAAATTTATAAAATTAAAGTCTTTAAAAAAAATAAATTTATTTATTTATTTTATTATTGGCTGCACTGAGTCTTTATTGCTGTGTGCCAGCTTTCTCTGGTTGCGGCGAGCGGGGTCTGCTCTTCATTGCGGTGCGCGTGCTGCTCATTGCGGTGGCTTCCCTTGTTGTGGAGCACGGGCTCTAGGCGTTCAGGCTTCAGTAGTTGTGGCACGAGGGCTCAGTAGTTGTGGCTCACGGGCTCTAGAGTGCAGGCTCAGTATTTGTGGCACACGGGCTTTCCACGGCGTGTGGGATCTTCCCGGACCAGGGCTCGAACCTGTGTCCCCTGAGTTGGCAGGCAGATTCTTAACCACTGAGCCACCAGGGAAATCCCTTAAAGTCTTTTTATGAGACAGTGCAACATAATTTGCTTTTTACTTGTTTATGCCAAATGAAAAGACACATTGAACAGAGTTGTGCCACATGTGCTTAGTTCAGGGCTGGAGGGAGTGTTGTCTATTGTTTGTTGTCCACCTACAAAGCTTAGTTTCTCTACAAGATTGTAACATCCAGTCTTGATTTCATTCTGAGAGGTTACATTCTGAGACAGGAGGACGCATAGAGTGTGATGTGATACTTGTGATACAGTAGTTACTCTAACTTTGACTTCTGCTTTCAGTGATGAATGCTGCAAGTCACCTACTCGTATTAGAGGTGAACACACTATTTTTCAATCCGCAGCGTCACTGCTTTGCATATTAGCATCCCTGTATACCTGCCACTCATTAAAAACCAGTAGCTCACAAAATACTAGCCATATCTGTTAATAGGTGGGTTAAGAGTCAACTCTTCTGTTGGTAATGTGAACACCTGCACACAGTTGTGTGCACATAGATTCTAATAATGCTAACTCCTGATTTAGCTTGCCCGTGGGAAGATTAATTTAAACAAATCTGTGCCTGTTAACGCAGGGTGTGTCTTACACTTATTTTTTTTTTAATTGATTTTTTTTTTGCGGTACGCTGGCCTCTCACTGTTGTGGCCTCTCCTGTTGCGGAGCACAGGCTCTGGACGCGCAGGCTCAGTGGCCATGGCTCACGGGCCCAGCCGCTCTGTGGCATGTGGGATCTTCCCGGACCGGGGCACGAACCTGTGTCCCCTGCATCGGCAGGCGGACTCTCAACCACTGCGCCACCAGGGAAGCCTTTACACTTATTAATTGGACTTAAATTAAGCTCATTGAGAAAGCCTCAAATTTTGGTAGAATTTTTGTCTTTTCTTGCTGTTTCCTGAGATTGCCAAGTTCTAATAGGAAGGTATGCCTCTGGTTGCTAGTTAAGCAATATAATTATGCCTTCTGTCAGGATTACTGATAGTACTGTGGCAGTTTGTATATGATCATCCAAAGTTTGTTTTTTAAAAGGGTGTGGTTTGATCAAGCGTTGGATCCATTGGTATAGTTTCTCAAAAAGTTCATTGCCATCATATGAGCCCATTATTTGAACAATACTTTTATTACTGGTCTACTTGACTCCTGTCATTTCTAGTTTTTGGTTCTTACACTTGCAGATTGATATTTTTGAAATACTGTTTTCCTCTGCAGAGGAACCTTTAGTAGCTGTCTTATGCCTTTTTTAAAATCAAGTCTATGCTTAACCTTGGTGTGAGCTCTGTATCGATGTCTTGTTGGGTTCTAGACTTCTGGTTATAACTGGGTTAAAGGCCTGGGAGTCATGGTAAACTGCTACAGCTGCTGCTGTAAAATATCATCTGGTTGGGTATTGGAAACATAATAGTAACCATTTTTGGCTCCTTTATCAAATTATGATGCATTCATGCCTGATCACTTCTCTAAAAAGATAAAATGGAGCCAGAGAACAATTAAAATAATCATTAAGGAGCAGATGCATGATGAGAGACTAAAGAGATTTCATAAAGAAGAGGACTCAGAAGCAGTATAATTGAGGGCTTTAAATCATGAGTGAGATGATAATAGTAGGAGTCTCTAGGGAAAGCAGCAGGGCACAGGGGGTTAAGGTCTGGAATTGGTATTCTACCTCTGCATTTACTAATGATGCAGCCTCGAGCATGTCATTTACACTTCCCAGGGCTGTGGTTTCTCTGTTTGTAAAGCGGGTATGATTGTACCTGTACCTCATAGTGCTATAAGGATTCAATTCTAGAACACCAAAATAAATATGTAGATCCCTTAAAGCTTTGGATATGTTTAAGGACTAACTAAGGAAAACAGTTCATTAAATAACTCAAGTAGTATGGACTGAACATATAAATAGGTTTTAAAAAGTCTGTAGTCATATCTCATTTGTTATGAAATGCTGGTATGGTCTTTGAGGGCA